GTTCATCCAGCTCTACACCTTGTTATCTCAGATTCTCCAGCATCTGCAGTTCCTACTATCAAGGGTATAATGGTTTATTAGTTGGAGACAATCTCACATCTCAATTTGGGGCTATATATGTACCAAAGTGCAATTCCAAGCCCCCTCCTGCCAAATATCCCTCTATTCCATTCTAAGTGAAAAGAACATTATTGCAGAATCTGAAAAAAGACATCTGAAATGTTGAGAACAGTCTGAAATTTGGTAGAGCTGGGAACACTGGGCAAAGAAGGGGCATAACAAATAGATCAAAGACTCCCTCGGGTCAGTCGCATGCATGTTACAATGTTTGGATACACCTAGACCTTGAAGGGTCATGGCTTGGGCCTGGAGGAGAATGAATTGGATCCCTGGACGTCCCACGCATATGCAACAGTCAAGAAGGCACAACAATGTCTCCTCTTCCTCAGGCAGCTGAGGAAATTTGGCATGTCCATAAAGACCCTCACCAACTTCTACAGATGCACCACTGAAAGCACACTGCCTAGTTGCATAACAGCCTGGTATGGCAATTGCTCTGCCCAGGACCATAAGAAACTACAGAAGGTGGTGTGCACAGCCCAGACCATCACTGAAGCCAACCGTCCATCCATGGACTCCATTTACATGGCTTGCTGCCACAGCCAGGCAGCCAACACCAAAGACCCATTGCACCCTGGTAATGGCCTCCTACAACCTTTATCAGGCAGAAGATACAGAAGCCTGAACACACGCACTAGCAGGTTAAGGAACAGCTTCCACCTGGCTCTTATCATCCTGATGAATGGACTCTCTAGCCTCAAATAATGCTGATCTTGCTAACGTTGATCACGCCCTGTGCAATATAACCTGTATGCCTCTTAAGGTTTTTTGATCTGTACATCCTTGCCTACTATGATCTGCCTGTACTGCTCATAAACAAATCTTTTTAGTGTACTTCAGTATACGTGACAATAAATCAATTAATCAATCAAGCGATCAAAACCAGCAGTGTGATAATGACCAGATAATCTGTGTTTTAAGATGTTGACCTAAGAATAAATATTGGCCAAGACAAAAGACAATACCCTTGCTCTTCTTCAGAAGACTGCTGCAGGAAAAGGTACATAGAAAGAAAGACTTGTTTTTATGCTGTGCCTCTCACAACCTCAGGATGTGTCAATGTACCTGACAGCAACCAAAAGGACGTCTGAAGTGTAGTGACTGTTATAATGTAGGAAACTTCAACCAATTTGTCCTAAAAAGTGCAATGTGGTAATGATTATATAATTTGTTTGAGAGTTGTTAATTTAGCGTTAATTATTGGACAGGACATCAGGGATAACTCTCCCAAACTCTGCACGAAACAGCCTGTGGGATATTTTACTTCAAGAGGACAGACAAAGTTTCTGTTTGACATCTCATTTAAAACCCTTAATCCTGGGCACTGCAGCACAACCTATTCTGAATCAATAGCAAAAATGCAACCATAATTGCCACATTAACATGCTAAAGCATGGTTCGAAAAAGATTTGACGACAACAGGAAGGGCATGCAGCAAACAAGGTACTTAACATGCAATACATAAGGCTTTTGTTTGTAATCTATCCATCCAGCGTAAAATCATTTGAAGTAATATGGTGTTCAAATGGAAAAGGATTTCCTAACAAATAAAACTTACTAAAAGCTACTTTTCATCCAACTTTACAAACCTGCCATGCATTCACACTCCAAGCAAGTTAGTGTTAGTGGTTCATGGAGTCAGGATGAAGGTGGTCAGGACAGTTGATGAAAGTAAGAATAACTAAAATGACTTTTCCAATTATATTCAAGAATAACAACCAATTTAACACACATCAAACAACAAAAACAAGAAAATACAATAATGAATTCTCTTTATAACATCACAATCAAGACAAGGATACAGAGAGCACAGTCTAATTTTTAATTGATTTGGGAAAAGGTGGAAATCCAGGTTTGATACATGTACGCTACAGCATTTCTTTGATCCCAAACTGTAAAAGACAGCATTCATAGTGGACCTATAACTACAGCTTAAGCCTCAAATCTTTAAGCACTTAGAGTTTGCACACTGATTCAAATCAAACATACTTCTGGTGATGCACCATCCTTTGTTTAAGTCTGCAGACAAACAGGATACCAAAGATGGTGTGTGAATGTATACTTTAGATAGCAATGCTTAATTAAACTCCTCACATAAAACAATTTAGAATTTGCCCACTACATTTCCATGAAAACATTCTTTTCCTTATTCTTTCAGGGGATGTGGGCACTGTCAACAAAGCCAGCATTTGTTGTCCGTTCCTACTAGCCCTTGAAACTGAGTGGCTTGCTAGGCTATTTTGGAGGGCATTTAAATGTCAACAACATCTCTGTAGATCTAGAGTTACATGTAGGCCAGACAAGCAGATTTTCTTCCCTAAAAGTTTGAATACACGTATGAATAGATTCCAGAACAGCTTCTTCCCTGCTGTTATCAGACTTCTGATCTCTCTCTCTGCACCTTCTCTGCAGCTGTAACACTGTATTCTGCACTCTGTTCTGCTACCCTGACATACTTCGTATGGTACGATCTGCTTGTATAGCACTAAAAACAACAATTTTCACTGTATCTTGATACGTGACAACCAATAAATCAAAAGACATTAACAAACAAGATTCTTTTTTACAAGAATTGATTGTAGCTTCATGGTAATCATTACTGAAACTGATTTCTTTTTCCTTAGATTTGTTAATTGAATTCATATTTCACTAACTACCATTGTCGGATTTGTACCCATGCCCCTACGGCAATGGGCTGGGGTTCTGGATGACTAATTCAACGATATTCCCAATATGCTAACGTCTCCCACCCCTTTTTTTTTAAAATATACACGCGCAGAAATACATTTCACTTACCACACTTAAGTGAACAGTTGAGCCTGGTTCTGGAAGCGGAAGGTTGTAGAGTGTTTCCAGCAATTCCTTCCACTGACAGTCCTGAAACATTACACATTTTAAAAAAAAAACTTCATTTATTTTTACAAAGTATGTACATCTATATACAGATTGATTAATGAGATTTCTAGATTTATAGAACATAAACCTACTCAGCATCAAAAAGTTTAATAGCTTAGCTACCAGGTATTAGAAAAAAGTGTCAGAAAAGGATACGCATAGTTGCATTCTAAAGAAATGTGCTGCAGTCATCGTATTTAAAAGACAGTATTCACAGGAGCCCAGAAAAAACGTCAGTATTTCTTATATTTAATTTGAGATACACCAGCTTATTAAAATCATTCATCAGTAAAATGAAAAAACCACAAAGTTTCAAGCTAATTGTAAAATTAGTGTACTGAAATTTTTAAAAACTTATACTGTTCAAAAAAAATCTAAAAATTGATTTTGACATTTGATATATTATTATTAAATACCTTTTAATAAGGCACTTCGAAAATAGACAAACAGTACATTTAAAGGTTTTCAATTCAAACAGAAATTCAGAATTTATGAATTTGAATGAAAAATTGAAATATCTAACACTGCATTATAATTTATAACTCTTATATCATGTCATTAAAGAACCATACCTGCCCTTTAGCAGTGTATTCTGCTAAGATGTTCAGAAGCTTGTAGAAAACTTCAAACCAAGGTAAATAGCTGAAATTAAATACAGACCAAATCAATGTTATTTGAAAACCTCTTACAACTTTAACAGAAAGAAAATCAAAGATACATTACTGTACAGTATTAAAACATAGACACTCAACAAAACATCACTAGAAAAACAAATGTTTAAACTTATGCAAACGTAACAGAAGTTCCATCTGGAATCAAGTTTATTTACATTACAAATTTTGGTCAAGGCCTATGTCAATTCATAAGATTGGTAACCTGGAACAATATGGGTCTGGATTTTACAGGTCACCTTGGGCCCCAACTGCCTGGCTAAAACCTCAGTAGTGACCCCGCACACCATACTGATGGTTGCCCTTCAGCTATTTAACACTGACAGTCGTTTAAATGGCTGAGTTTGCTTACTCACTCTAGTGCTGCCTGTTTGCAATTTTCCTTTAGTGTAATTTCACCTGCTCAGCATTCCTCTAATGCTCTTCCTCCAAATCAAGTATCAGCTTAATGCCACTGATTACTTTATGGTGAGATTTCTGCCCTGATGTTGTCTCAGGGAATTCTTAGCCAATGAGACAGCTGACAACCGCGTAGTCCTAGTAGTATCAGACAGGAGCAGTTGTCACTGCTAGGACTGAAGTCAACTTCAAATCAAGAAGAGACAGGATTTAATAGGAGTCTGCGATATTACTGGTAGGACTCAACAAGGAACAGGGTGAGTTGGATTCTTACGCAGCATGGCTTCCCCTTGCAGAGGTTAGAACAGCACTAGGGAGAAGACGGAGTCAGAATATTGCAAGTTCAACTCCCATTCCATGATCTAGGTACATAAATCAAAGCTGACATTCGAGTGAGATTCTGATAATGCAATACTGAACATTGCTGCTCTGCCAGGAAAGCTGTCCTTCAGTTCAGATATTTCCTCTCAGGTGGTGTAAAATATTTCAGGCTTCTTTTTATTTCATAGAAAAGCAAAGGAGTTATCCCTAGAATTCTGGTTAATATTAATCTATCAAACACCATCAAAAACAAGGTAATCTGGTCATTAACACATTTCTGCATACAAATTGACACCACAATTCCTGCAACAGTGAAAAATCTTCAAAAGCATCTAATTGGCTGTAAAGCGCTTTGAGACATCCCTCAGGGATTGAAATGCATTATAGAAATGAAAAAAAATTATTTTGGCACTCATTGTACTTCGTGTTTATGGAAAGTTGTTTCATGAATTGCAGCCTTGACAGCCAAACATGAGGTGCTGATAATAAGTGCATCATAATGAAAAGGAGGAAACTAAATGCAACATCTCTAAAATCAAAATGAAACAAAATATAAATTTTAATATGGCAAGATCTCTAGACTGCAAAAAATTAAGTGTTGTACCTTTAATTTTTGTTCAACATTCCTAGAGGGGCAATTTATTTTAGTGGTACATCATAAATTCATTTTTATGCATTAGGCATGAGAAAAGGACGACATTGTAATACCAGGTACATGTATGACATTGTAACACTTTGTCAAATATTTTCATAAGTATGCTATTACACCCATCACTGATAGGACTTAAACACATGGAGGGTGATTTTGACTTTTACCTGTCTTACAGGGATAATGGGCGAGCAGTTTGAATGATAGCTGCCCTTCAGCTATTTTAGCCAGGTTTACTTAGTCACTCCAGCACTGCCTATGTACAGTTGTCCATCAGCACAATCTCACCTGCTCAGCATTCCTCTAATGGTCTTCCTCCAAATCAAATATAAACCCCATCCTACCAAGCAAACTTATAAAAAAAACGCAAAATCAAAGTATCCTCCCAAATTACCTATGGGAATAAAAACAACATGCTAGATGTAATCATCAGGCCTGTCTGCATATATAACAAGAAATGACAGGTTATTGAGGCATTACTTGTAATCCATCATCACACATTTATACACATGAAACACTGTTTTTAAATTCAGATTTTTAGTGTTTGCAGCTTTTCCATTTTATTTACAAGAAAAACTGTCAAGGATGTCTTACTGTATTCACCATGTGTGTATGTAAATGATTGGTAACTAACAACTAGTATTGGAGAATGCCTGTTCCATATGAGAAATTTAAGAAATCAAGCACTTGTGATGTAACTAATAAGATTACAATTACAGCAAATATCATTCCATCCCAAAGCATTGGAATGAAACGCCAGAAGAAACGTGCCCCACCACCTATCTGAATGGAATTGTCGGTAATGTGCAATGTAGACTTGGGACTTCCACCTGCAATGTTATCCCAAAATTTTGATGCATCGAACAGCTAATATTCACAAAATGCATTTGACGTTTGGATAAAGAGTTTTTAAAAAGTAGGGAACCAACACTCAAAGCCACTTTCACACCTTCATGTTTTTCTAAAGCACTTCATTTCCAATTGGATTACTTTTAAATGTGGTTTCCAGTCTTATCAATAGCCCACAATCAGAAATTGACTTAGCTTGTTTGTGGTCACGTTGATGAGTGTAAGGAACATTAGATGGGTGCATTTCC